ATTAATTAAAAATATCATCTTTTAAAAGTTTGTAATAAAAGATGTCTTCACCATTTTTTAAAATATTGATCAAGTGAATGTGCACTATAAAATTTCTAATTAAAATTTTTTGAAAAGTGATAGTATTAATTGATAAAATCACAAACGTCACATTTTTTTATTAAAATTTTTTAACAAATTGTAATTTTAATTAGTAAAAAAATATCATATCTTTAATTTAAAATTTTTTGAAAGCTTATATTTTTATTTATACCAAATCCAGGGTAGACAAATCTAGGGTAGACAACTAAGATGAATGCAAAATTTTTCAATCAAATAAATAAATAATTTTAAATTATTATTAATAAAACATATAAAAAATACAATATTTTTTTAAAATAAGCGAATACAATATAAATTACGGGTAAAGTAAGAGTGTAATAAGTAAATTAGTTCGTAATACAAAAATTAAAAATAGCCTCAACTAATAATGACATCAAAGATCAAACTCGTACTGTCGCCAGTATCAGATGGCTTGGCACGTGCCATGCTCCCATGTTGTACGAGTCTTGTCTTGAGGGAGACGCAGCCGCACGTGACCACCTGCGCCCTTTGTGCAAAAACTTCATTAAAAAGCACGTCCCACTTGCGCACGTGTGCATCGAATTCACTGTACCACAAAGTCACAGCAGCTTTCACTCGCGCGTCTTTTTACCTCCCCGCGTGGGTATCTATAACCTTTTTAACCGTGAGGTAAAACCCAACCGCCCCTGTCAGTAAAAACACTCACGCTTTCTGACACCTTCATCTTCCCCCACTCGCTTTCATTCCATGATTTACACGCGCTAATGTTATTATATGGGCTGGATTATTTTGGGCCGAACTCCAAACCCAGTGAGGCCCAGCATGGAAGCCGTTAGGCTCCACTCAGATACAGCCATGCTTAGGTACTATGTGGATCCCACTTCTAAGATAAGGCCACGTGTGAATCGCATGGGTAGAAGAATTCCATTCTTGGACACATTATACCATACCGCGTTAAGGAAAGGTGTCTGCGGAGTCGATCGGAGACCTTGAAGAAGTAACCTCTCTGGAATCGAATCATAAAGGATCGGAGGTGGTGGTGGTGGTTTAGATCGGATCGGATCGGATCAGCTCAGCTTGTTTTAGTTCTCGCCGGAAAGTTTTGTAGCGTCGATCGATTGACCGAAATGAGTTTCCTCTTCGGCAAGAGAAAAACTCCCGCAGGTATTGTGCTTTTGATTGAGGCTTCTTTTCTGTGTTGTCTTTGTTGAAATTTAGGGCTGTAAATCTGTGATTTCGTGCTGATGGTTTGGTTTTGATTTTCTTTCGGTACCTAATGGAGGGTTTTGAATGGTTTTTTTGTTGAATGAAGAGTTTTTCTTTAGGGGATTGTTCTCCAGATAGCTAATTTTGGTGAATTTCATTATTTGACTTGTTGATTTTTGTAATAAAACCGGTTTAATTGACGTTTTGGATGATTGGATTTCGTTGTGCATATGAAGATCAATCAAATACATGGATGAAGGCTCAGAATTTTAATCATTATACGTTGATATTTTCAATCTAAACCCTGCTTGGTAAGATAAATAATCAATCTTGTTCAAAAAGGAAATAAACAATCCTATTTGGCATTGGTTTTTCTAATTTTCGGTAGAGGTCTCTGTAATGCTGGGTTTAGAGAGACGTGTGGTCCTTAACATTGCATTGTTTACGAATGCCATGCAGTTCCGAATTAAGGTTCACATTATGTTGCTGTGTGGGGCAAGTTGAGTGAGGGTAGTAAACAGATGATATTGGTAGTTGTATTCCATTGAGTTATTATGTGTTGTGTAATGTTGTCTATGGTTGTGTGGTTTCAGAACTTCTGCGGGAGAACAAGAGAATGCTGGACAAATCTATTAGAGAAATAGAGAGGGAGAGACAAGGCTTACAGACACAGGAGAAGAAATTGATTGCAGAGATAAAGAAAATGGCAAAGCAAGGGCAGATGGTGTGTTTATTGTCTTATTTGCTTTTCTGATTCACTTTTTAATACTACTAGCATATTCTTGTTAAACATACATTGCTATCTAGAAGAGCTCAGCAAATTTCTACTGGCTAACAAGGTTGTTCATGTCATGGAATCATTTTCTTATTTTGCTTTGAAATGATATTTTCATACTTATGCCAAAATTTGAGTACTAGTCGGGTAACTTCTCCCCTTCACAAATGCCATAACTTTGAAATTCACATGGATCTTCAAAGCCATTGTAGATTGTTATGCTTATGTAATACATCAGATTTTGGTTTGCATTTGTTTTCTGCTTTTTAGTAATTATGTTAGTTGCTCTAATATTGATTTGCAGCATCAAGGATCTTGATTTACATGATAAATGGTTAGATCATTTGAGGAGAGGGATATTTTTTTCCCCTTTATTTACCTCTTCTTCTACACCTAGATTTGTCGAGATTCCTTAACTTATAAAGGTTGATGGAAATGGTCTGAAATAAGTGTTAACGAATATCAATGTTGCTATTCTGTCACCTCTGACCCAACATATTTCATGTGTTGGAATCTTATGTCAGGGAGCCGTGAAAGTGATGGCGAAAGACCTTATTAGAACAAGGCATCAGATTGAAAAGTTTTATAAGCTTAAATCACAACTCCAGGGTGTATCTCTTAGAATTCAGGTATGTATTTTGCTCCCATCTTTTTTCTTCAACGGCTTGAAGAAAGCATTTCTTTTTCACCTTTCTCTTCTAAATTTAAGATTAACTCTCCTCTCTTGCTTAGTGAATAGATGGGAGTGAGTAGCCTCCTTTTCTAATGATATGTGGGTCTATTATTGAAATGAGGCTGGCAGCTTTTATCATAAATTGATGGACCACAAACCTTGTTTTCTCCCATTTCTAGTTCCTCTCCAATTGCTAGTCATGCATCAAGGGTCAATAAAAAATAAAAGAGCATTGTAGTGAACGCTTTGTCTCCTATGTTATTCAATGTGATAAAATCAATCGTTTAAAGCTGGATCCTAGTTTAAAGCTGGATCCTAATTAGAAACCCAAAACCATTCTAGTGGACAGCATACAGAATTCTAGTCTTGTAAATTTTACAATGTTTGTGGCCTTCCCATAGCAATTTTAAGCTTTGAGGAAAATTGTAAATATGCAACTTTCAGACATTGAAATCAACACAAGCAATGGGAGAGGCAATGAAAGGTGTCACAAAGGCGATGGGCCAGATGAACAGGCAGATGAACCTGCCGTCTTTGCAGAAAATTATGCAAGAATTTGAGAGGCAAAATGAGAAGATGGAGATGGTGACTGAGGTGATGGGAGATGCTATTGATGATGCTTTGGAAGGGGATGAGGAAGAGGAGGAAACTGAAGAACTTGTGAACCAGGTCCTTGATGAGATTGGAATTGATGTCAATCAAGAGGTATTATTTTCACTTTGGCTTCTTAAATCTACATATGGGGCAGTTAGCATGAATATATTTTCTATGTTTCAGAAACTAAATTATGAAGACTTACTAACTCTGCCTGTTTAATGTATAATTTGCAGCTTGTGAATGCACCATCATCTGCTGTAGCTGCTCCAGCTGCAAAGGGAAAGGTTGCACAAGCAGAAGCAACAGGGAATGATGACAGTGGGATTGATAGTGAATTGCAGGCAAGGTTAGATAATTTGAGAAGGATGTAGGTATCTATGGCTTGTTACGTACTATTGTGAAATATACATCTGATGAACGTTGCATGGTGAGAAAAATAATTTCAGATATAAATTTCAGGGTTTGGGATAGCTGGATATTCTAATAATTTGCTTTTGTAAATTTATACATGCTTATCTAGTAAATTCAGCATTTATAATTTCACTTTTTATGACAATGGATTTAAACCCCATTATTCAATTTTCATTCTAGTCCCGCTACTACGCCACTATGGCTCTACTGGAGACTGAATTGCCACCTTTTTTTATTTTGGGTGCATAAGACTGAATTGTTACCTTGATGTGATTATAAAAGTACAACACAACTCTGTTAGTTGGTACACTCTGGAGGATTTTATTTTTGGTAAATTCTGGAGGAATTTAGTCCAACCTTTTCAAGTGAGAAAATTTTTCATACAATAGGATACAACGTCAGTAATATTTCTGTTTATTAATATATATAATGGTTAGCATTCAATAATAGTGGTCGGTATATATATGTGGTTTTTACTTATAATTAAATAATTAATAGATTATAATAAATTAATTTTTTTTATTATAAGTAAGAGTTATATATGTTAATATGTTGCTACTTCAGTGGATAAGGATACTACCATCGTGGTATCTCTATTGTAAGGAAGAAATTTCTCCTTCAAGTTTGGCCGAATAACAAATATGTACACACATTGTGGTGTGATATGGCTTCATTGGAAAAATCATCTTACGAAGTTGCCAAACTTTACCGACCTAATCAACGAAGACAGACGAAAGAAGGGAATTAAAAGAACGGCAAAAACCTCAAACGGCCGCTGCGATCAGGAAGCCAGAACCCAGCAGGCCTCTCCTAGAATTTTCGGCCGCATCCACCGCTGCTGTGGTACCAACGGGGGCACGACACACCGGGCAGTTGAAGTGAGAGTACAGCCACATGTCTATACAAGGAGCATGGAAGGAGTGCTTGCAACTCGGCAGCTGCCTCAGCTCCTCCCCCTCTTCAAAAACCGATAAGCAAACCGCACATTCGTATTCACCACCTTGGTTTCGGAACAACAACGTATTGTTCTTCTCCTTCTTGTACTTGAAACTCGACAACATATAGCTTCTGCTGGCGTTTTCAAAACTCTGCCCTGTTGCTATCTCAAGCTGCAGCCCGCTGTGTCCCAGCCTCGACCCACCGTGGCGATTGGTGCACCACCGGACGATGATGAAGTTGAATACGAAAAGAGCTACGGCGGCCGTTCCCACCACTATTAGCCCGTAATAAAGCATAGGTAAATTGGATTTTGTAGAAGGAGGAGGCGGAGACGGGAGTGGTAAGGGTGTTAAATTGGCTCCCATGCCATGGGGATAAGAACGAAAAGGGTGGACTTACAGATGATTGAAGAATATATTTAGAGGAAGACATATGAAGGAGAAATTAAATTAAATAATATTAAGGTGTTAATCTAAAAGCCGTGGTGGTTACGTAATCTTAGAATAGAAATGGTATTCGAATTTCTTGATTTATTATTTTTGCAATCGCACTCTATGGGGCCTGAAGAAAGGATGAAAACAAAGAAAATGGACAATCAGTGGACAGTGAAATTAACGAGGCAGGCGAGATTGATTAGATTCAAGATAAGGGTCAAGAGGCTTCAGACCTCTCACTCGCTTTTCATTTCATTTCTTGCCCTATGCTCTCGTTTAGTTAAATAAAAAAATTATTTGTTTTATAATACATATTATATCAATTTATAAAATAAAAATTATTAGATAAAAAAGATAATTTCTAATATTAGAAGTAAATAAAAAAAAACTCTTTTTTTTTATTTAATAGTTAAATTATGTATTTTTTAGACTGTTTAATACTTTTTTATAATTTAAATATAAAATATACAAATTTATTACTAATATAATATAATAAATTGAGAAAAAGGAAAAGAAAAATGAAACGAAGTTGTCTTTTCATGCTTAGCTAATTAATGGACTTAAATAATGTTGTTTAGATGCTCATTCAAATTTTATTCGAGATACTTCGCAAAGAAAAAGTCAATTGACTTACTTCCAAGTTGACCAACTTTCAATAGAGAATTAAGTTAGTAGTTTGGATGAAAAAAAAAAAAATGAGGGTAAAATTCTGTAGTTGAGACTTGAGAGTTGATGATGGGAATTCTTACTAACTATTCCGTGGAAAAGTAGGCAAAAGTGCATTTTCAAGTCTATGGCAAAAAATATACTTCTTTTTCTCCTCCTTAAAATGATCAGCCCAAACAGATTCTAATTTGCTCCAAGATGATTAAAAAGAGGAATCCAGTTAGGTCACTACATTGTGACACTTTTTTGTTCTTTTTGGCCCGCAAACGTAATGATACCTTTTTGTTAGGAAGAACACAAATTTTTAATGCTAACAGCTTACAATATTATCTCAGAAATAGAGCTTCATAATAAACTATATATTATTATCGAGTAAAAGATTAATTATTGACACATAATATTGGGAAAGGACTCTATTATGACATAAAAATAGGAAAATTAGAGAAATTAGTTAGTTACTTAAAGTAATTATCAAAGATAAGATAACCCTTAATGAAACTTTAGTGGTAAATATGGATATTAACAAGTTGAGTTGATTCAAGTATCCAAGTACTCGCATTCAAAAATTCAAACATAAGTCAAGTTTCAGTATTTCTCAAATTTAAAATAGTTGAGCTTGTGCTCAAATTCATGAGTATTCAAGCAAGTCTGACCTTGCTTGTGAGCTCGAGGAAATTAATAATATTTTAATTTAAATTCAAGTTTTTTACTTACAATTTCAAAATATTTTAATAATTAATTATTTAACCGTAAATTTTGCTATATTTTTTGAAACTATTATAGTGCAAAAAT